TTAGTCGCTGGTCGCTGGGTAAGCGTCCCTCGGCCAATAGCATCGCGGCTGATTAGTCACCCATCGGCCGCTTACTCGTGATCCGCTTCAACTTTCCCTCGCTTGGCTGGTGACTGCTCGACGGCTTGACGAACCTGGTCTACGGATTGCGTTAGCCAAATCTGGCTCAAGGAATCTGGTCCCGAAATAACCTCCCACGACTTGCGCAACTCAACTCCCGACATCTATCGCCATGGCATACAAGCGGCCGCGCGCGCCTTCCCCGACTAACGCGCAAAAGCGCTCTCGCGGCGGACCGACAACCTACATCTCCCTAGGCACCGGGCTTCCCGAAGAAGAGGCCGATGATGGCGCTTTCGTGCCCGTGTGGAAGCAGACCGTGACGGACGAGCGAGGTCGCCGGAGACTCCACGGCGCATTCACAGGAGGTTTCAGTGCAGGGTAAGTTTCCGAGTCATACTTTGACGAACGCAAGACTTCTTGACTATGCTAAGATACTTTAATACAGTTGGATCTAAAGAAGGATGGACCCCGAAAACATTCGTTTCCTCGCGCGCAGACCGCAAAAAAGACCAGCCCAATGGCCCGACCCAGCGAGCAGAAGATTTCATGGACGAGGAGGATCTGGCAGCAGCAGCCGAGTCGCGCCAACTGGAGACTGCGCAGAACTTTGCCGGCATAGGCGAAGCTGGACGAGCGAACGACGATGGACTATTCGGCCTGTTTGTGACCCAGGAGGAGACAATGGGCGTCAAGATTGCGCAGAAGATGGGCTGGCGACGAGATCAGGGCATTGGTCGCAAAGTGCGCCGGAATGCTGACCTGGAAGATGGCGCATCGGGACCCAAGGACGACGCAGCTCATCTGTTTGCGCCTCAAGATGCTCGGATTATGACTTTGCCACGAGAAGAGGTGCGTCGCAAAGGCCTGGGATACACGTCGGAAGCCCGCTTGGGTGTTGTGGAAGAAGAGGCTGCGGATCGTCCATCCAAGTTCGACTTGCATTATCTTGAGGGTCCGAAGAAGGCATCGATTGTGAAGAAACCTGCGCCGAAGAAGTCTTCCTTTGGCGTCGGTGTGCTAAACGATACCGGCTCAGACGACGAAGACCCTTATGAACTAGGTCCAAAGATCACATTCAACAAGACCATAGGAAAGGAGAAGAAGGGGAAGAAGCCCAGTAAATTCGCCAAGCCCGGGGCAGGAGAGAAGCATGTCTTCGTCTCGAAGAAGAGTTCGTCCAAAGCCTTAGTCTCGCTGAGCAGGCCATCTATAGATGGGAGATCTCCGTTGAGTGGCTTCACTTTTGCGGCCGGCCTCACCGAACTCACCAGCAAGCCTAAATATCCTCCACCGAAGATACCTCCAGGTTGGAAATCTTCCAAAAGTGCCGCTCCCACTTCAGAATCGAAAGACTACCAATCTGTAGCAGACGCAGCGAAAGCATCAACGTTGGATGCTAAAGGGCGTTCGGCACTGTTGGGGGAGAAAGCTTTGCCCGGAAAGTCCATCTTCGACTTCATACCCAAGGACGCCCGAGACCGGTTGGCTGCATTATCTGGTAAAGCCGATCTGCCCCAGGGCCTGGGAGAAGCTGCTCCTGAAGGACATTTGCCCGCAAGCAAAGCCCAACCCAAAGACCTGTGGAGTCTCGTGCCTAGTCTCGATAGGAGTGTGGCAGCTGCGGCACTTGCCAAGGGTGCGACGGGCTGGATGCCTTATGCTGAGGACATGCAGAAGCGTGCACGTTACGTCGGCTTTCTAGAGTTGAAAGCAGGACTGAAGGAGGACCTGCCAGAACGAAGGGAGGGAGTATCAGTCTCAGACTGGATCAAAGAGCTACAGGAGTTTGCACATGCTGCAGAAGTCTTCAAGCCCACAACTGGTATCATGGCCTCCCGATTCACATCCGCGTCATCCTCAACTCTGAACGGAAACGATGGTGGAGCAGCGAATGCGAACCTTCTACGACAGCCAGCCGCAAAGCCAGAAGATCCCGCAGAGCAGGCGGCGAAGCTAGGCATGTACGGTCCCATGACTCGAAGTAGTTTCCCCTTCTACCCATCGCGACTCCTTTGCAAACGCTTCAACGTCAAGCCCCCGCCAGACATGCCACCGGAGTTTGATGCTGGTGAAAGTTACTTCAAATCGCAGACGGAGGAGGCTGTTTCCAAGTCGGCTATGGAGAAGCTGCAACATGAGTTCTTGACTAACGGTCCTGCGCTCCAGCGGCCGGCTTGGATGGGTCAGGCATCGGAAGCTGCTGTCCCAGTTGCAGCTGTGACTACAGAACAGAGTGGACATGCAGCTGTGGATGTGGAGAAGAACGAGGCGCTTTCGAATGATCGGGCGAGTGAGGATGTTTTCAAGGCTATCTTTGGAGACGACGACGATGATGAGGACTGATGGAGAACTGCATTCGCTCTCACATATTGCACCACCGAATACGTGATTGCTAGGCTTCTGGGGACGTGTCTGGGATGTATGGAGCGATGCATGATAGGATTGAGAAGGTGTTTCTTCGTAATATTGATTGATGTTTAGATCAATATAATGCGACATGGCAAATTCGTTTTTGGCCAATTGTACTAATTTTGACAACAGACTTCCGAATCACGATGCTAATAATATCTACGGAGTTGATGAGTTCATTAAGGATGTATCGTTGATAGACGCGGTACCAGACGCAAGCGAAAATATCACCGACTCGCCGAGGCTCGGAACATGTCGTCATGACACTTTTTCGCGTGAGACCGACAGACACGTTGTTACTCTCTCACCCTAATATCAGCGGCCAGTCTTCCAGGGCTGTTATCATGATGCGTATTGCAGCTTCAGATCTCTTAAAATAGGAATTGAATACTTGACGCCTCGGCAATGTCAGATGGCGCCCGCGGAAAGCGCTCGTCGTCCTACTGTAAGTGGAAAGAGCGAAGAGCATAATTGCTATTGCGACAGCTAGCGTATGGCAGTCACTAACAAGTGCGCAGTCCACTTCTTCGCTGGCCTAAACTCAGGCATCCTGTCTGCCGTCCTTCTCCAACCCGCCGACCTCCTCAAGACCCGCGTCCAACAATCCCGCTCGAGCACCCTCCTCGGTACCATCCAGTCGATAGCCAGCGGCCCGAACCCGATACGTCAGTTCTGGAGGGGCACATTACCTAGTACCCTGCGCACAGGATTTGGCTCTGCCATATACTTTTCAAGTCTCAACGCGTTACGACATAGAGCGAGTCTGGTCGCAGCGGGCAGCAGCAGCGATGCAGCAGTCAAAGGCGCGGAGCACTCGAGCTCTCTGCCCAAACTGAGCAACACCGCGAATCTGGCAACGGGAGCCTTTGCGCGGACATGGGCGGGCTTCATCATGATGCCGATAACCGTGCTGAAAGTGCGATACGAGAGTAGTTTGTACTCGTACAATTCGCTCTTCACAGCATCTCGAGACATCTTCCGAACAGAAGGACTCAAGGGCTTCTTCGCTGGTTTCGGCGCAACAGCCGTTCGCGATGCACCCTACGCGGGGCTCTACGTCCTCTTCTACGAGCAATCGAAACGGAAACTTTCTAGTCTCGCAACCAAGATTGAAGAGACATCCGGCACCGCCACCAAGCTGTCTACCAGCACATCCGCGGGAATAAACTTCATCTCGGGTGTTGCTGCAGCGGGGCTGGGGACGACTATTACGAACCCCTTCGATGCTATCAAGACGCGTATACAGCTTATGCCTCATAAGTACGGCAATATGGTACAGGCGAGCAAGAAGATGCTTGCGGAGGAGGGCATGCGTAGCATGTTCGATGGACTCGGTATTAGGATCGCGAGGAAGGCAATGAGCAGTGCGCTTGCCTGGACGGTCTACGAAGAGCTGATTCGACGAGCGGAGACTTTGAAGGAAGTCGTCGAGGAGAAGATATAATTACGAACTGTACGATACTTGCATAGCCGGCGTTCGCTGGCGCCGACACTCGGCTAGACACCTCTTCGCTCACATGCACATTGGAGTGTTCAAATGGAATAAACGATCTGCATCTTAACGTCTCTCACGGAATACCTATCTCGTCAAAGTTCACACCATCTAATCAAGACCGAAAGTCTGGAAGTTCGGACCGACCCTGACTGGAAAGGTGCGGCTGAAGAGCTGTGGCTATTAGGGACGATCTGGCGCAAATCTAGCCCGAAAACGCAGCCTCGGGCACATGAAGGCTTACTCCGATCAGCTTGTTGGTCACGATACCTCGGCGGGTCGCACGCGAGCGGAGCTGTTTCATGAGGCGCTGAGAATGGAGAACATGTGTCTTGGAGCGCGCGTCAAAGGGAGATCAACGGAGTGGGTGTACCCACGAAGTTGACACTTGAAGATTGATCGGGTTGCTTGATAGCAACGCTGTACACTAACAAGGCTTACTTGATATGTCACTTCCGCCCCCAGCCTAGAGTAGATGGAGGCTTTGGCGCTTGATGGCGCTTGATTAGTGTTATTTTCGACATGCCCCACCAAACCATCACCATCCTCGTGCCGCTAGCTGGAGAGACCGAAGGATGTAGGGCAAAGCCGTCGCAAGAATTGCACACTGCAGCGCTACAACAGCGCAGAGGGGACGCAGGCATGTGGACGGCCTCCTACACTATCGTTGATAGGTCAAACATGCCTTCCGGCTGATTTGTGTTCACAAGACCGGGCGCATGAGGATGCCGCTAGTGATCAGGCAGCTTTCAGCCCCCATTCCAGCAAGAGGGGCGCAATTCCTTCAAGTTCTGCTGCAGCCGCACCTTTGCTGACATTCCTGGTTTCTTACGTTACCTTCTCTTTATACCGTGTCACCTCTGCTGCTGTGCCGCCCCCTCAGCGTCGACCCCGCTCTGTGTGTCCACGCCGCAACTGAGACCAACCCAAAGGTTTTGGATTGATTGCTCTGCTTTGTCCTCACTTCAGATTTCAGACCGAACAGTCAGGATAGTTTTTATACTTTTCACCCGTCTTTTCTGCCTCTTCGCCCACTATGCCACGAGCATCCGACTGGGACCCGAGTTACTCGACGGACGATGAGTGGTCCAGGCACAAAGTCACAAAGGACACTTTGAACATTCACACTCGTCATGTTCATCCCCCCGCACCCCGACCCCCACCGCGGAGAGTCCAAGACGACGAGGTCTATCGTCCTGACTATGGTCGTCGCACGACAGAGTTTCTGGCTCCAGAAGTGCACTATACAACCGGTCTCCATCGAACTCGCTCACAAGGTCATGCGCCTGCTCCCAACGTGACAATCTACAACACCAGTCACCTGGATAACGATAGCCACCCCCGTGTAAGCACTGAGCAGAAGGGTCAAGACGCCAGTCCCCGTGGCCGACGCATGCCTGGTGGGTTTGAGGACCTGGAAGATAATATCGCTGCGCTGCGAGCAGACATAAAGAAGGAGCATCGTTCGCGCTCTAGGCACGAGTATGAGCATCAACGTGCTCCCGAGCCCAACTACGAAGACAAGATCAAGTTGACGCTTGCCGAGCAGCGCCTTAGAGATCTTGAAGATAGGCTTGAGAGGGAGCGTCAGGAGCGATACCATCATCATTCGCCAGACCGTAGTTACGAGGACAAAGTCAAGTTGACACTTGCTGAGCAGCGGCTTCGGGATGCTGAACAGCAACTCGAAAGGGAAAGACGTCATCACTCGTCAGATAGCTACAAGGATAAGATACAAGAGGCACTAACGCAACAACGCCTTGAAGAAGCCGAGGAGAAGGCTGAACGAGAACGTTGGGAGAGGGAAACCGAGAGACGGGAAGAATTGGCCAGGCGCAGGGTTGAGCTTGAGTTCATCCATGACAGAAGGGACCGTGAGCAAGAAGCGGAAAACATCAAGAGAATGGAGGAGAGTATGCGTCGCGATTGGGAGTTGAAGCGAGAGAGGGAAGACCGAGACCGCGAGCGACGCGATATCGACGAGGAGAGAAAGAAGGCTCAGATCATCGCCGAGAACAGGGCGAAGATGTCCAGAGAGCAAAGGGAGGCTGAGGAACAACGCGACAAGATGCTTGCCAAACTAGAGAGGGAGCAGAGAGAACAGGATGACGAACGCAAGCGGATACTCGCAGAGGCCAAGCTCAAGCAAGCCAGAGAGCAACGTGAGGCCGAGGAACAGCGTGAGAAGATCCTTTCTGATATGGAGAAGAAGAAGAAGCGAGAGAACGAAGAGCGCGCGCGCATCATTGCGGAGAATACGGCTAAGCTTGAGAAGGAGGCACGTGAGCGTGAACTCAAGGAAAAGGCGTTTGAAGAAGAGCGCAAGCGAATCATCGCTGACAACGAAGCCAAAGTAGCTAAACAGGCAAGAGAGGCAAAGGAAGCTCAACAGCGTGCTGTCGATGAATACCAACGAAAGAAGGCCAAAGAAGAGGCCGAAGCTCAAGCAGAGAAAGACCGTATCATCTACGAGTACGAGCGCAAGAAGATCCTAGACGCCGACAAGGAGAAGCGAGCAAAAGAGGAGCTCATCATGAAGCTCAAACTCGAAGAGGAAGAACGAAAGCGCAAGGAAAAGGAAGAATTCGACGCCTTCACGAGAAAGCAGCAAGCGGCAGAAGAAGCAGAGAAGCGGAAGAAGGAGGCCCAGGAAAAGGAGCTCGAGGAAACTATGCGCAAGCGACTCGCTCAATTTGGCTTCCAAGACAACCAGATCCAGGCGCTCGTCAACCCGGACAAGCAGCGTGAGCTTCAAGCAGGCATGATGCCCAACCATCCTCTCCATCCAATCGCTCCTCCTGCGCCTCCGCCACCACCGCACCACCATCACTCTCATTCTCACTCGCACTCTTCTTCGCATCAGATCGCTATTGCGCCTCCGCCTACCTACGCAAAGGTACACAGAAGCCATCTCGACGTCGAGACGCTGCACTACTACGACATTCCCTACGAATTCGATGTTGTAAGTCCCCTTCCACCAACCCCATTATCTGATACCAAGTACTATACTAACATCCTACCCAGAACCCCGAGTACATCATCGTCCTCCGCGAAATGTCCCAACGCGAAACCGACATCCTCTTCGAACATACCCGTCGTCTGCGCACTGGACACGGTAGCAAGTTGTTTATTGAATCGGAAGGGAGGGATAGACACGGTAAGAAGGAGTATGCTTTTGTGAGGAAGAAGTCGAGGTCCAGGTCGAGGAGTGTGGTTGGGGGTTCGTCTAGGCAAGCGAATATCAGTTTGGGGGAGATGTTTTATGGTAGATAAGGGTGTTGAGATGGGGTTTTATGATGCGGTTATGTTTTGGAGGTGTTGGTTTCTCTTTGCTCATGACGACTTATACCAATCTTCTCTCTAGGATTTTATACACATATATAGGTACCTTTGCTCGGTTGTTCTGTTACGTAGTTCTCTATGCATGGATTTGGCTTATTGTCGATCTCGATCTCAACTCATGTGACTTCACCTGTCTACGTCGCTTGCGATGCTGTGTAACGCTTTGCACATATGCATGCGTCTCAACGACTTCCAGCTCTTCACCGGTGTTGTGCTACGTCGATTCGGGTCTACGCTTTTTGGATGAACGGTGCTGATCTTCTAATCCATTCTAGCTCAAAGACGTGCGACTGAATTTATGCCACGCGCGATCTTACCAACTGCCGCTTTCACAGAATTTAGGAAGTGAAGAGTGTAGCACGTGCTTGTGCGTCATCCATGGATCGCACCTGCCTGACAGCTCTAGGGCTGACGCGTGGGGCCCACTCACGCCTCTTGCCTCGGCATGCGGTCGGCTTCTGATGTCCGGGAACATGACGCTCAGTTGCCGCAACACCATCGCTCCGACAGACTCTCTCACACTTTCCTTCTAGCATGCGTTGATACCCCTCTTAGTGTACTTTTACTCCTTCTTGATTCGACATGGCGGAGCTTTGTGGGCCTTCAAATGCCCTGCAAAACTTCCAGAAGCACACGACCGTAGACCGGACGCTTCAGCAGGACCGCTTGGTCGGGAGGCATTCACCGGCGCAGGTGTGTGGTTACACTCGAAACTTGCGCTTCGCCATATTGACGGTAGCAGGGCTTTAGATCATCCCCGGGACCAAATGTAGGCGCCTTAGACAACGAGTTTGAAGCCTTTCAAGCCGGCGGCCGGCCTCTTCCAACACAAAACTTCCAACCTTTCGATCCACGATTCGCGCAACCTCCTCCACAGTTTGCGCAAGCTCCACAAGCACCCGACTGGGCGGCCGACTTTCAACGCTTGAATGTTAGCAGTCCGCCGCCACAGACGTTTCAGCAACAGCGACAGCGACAGCAGCCGGCGAGCGCAGCGTCAGCATGGCATCAGGACTTCTTGAGGCAGCAGGCTCCGGTCTCACAGGCGCCTGCATTACAGCAAACCCCGTATGGAGGCATGTCGGGATACAACATGGGTGGATTTGGCGGACAAGCATACATGCAGACACCAACTTTCCAGAACACCCAGGTCTCAGAGGTCGCGCAAGGGAAGCAGCGCGCCCAGGATGACGTACCGGCGTTCGACGAGGCGGCCTTTGAACAAGCATTTGCGCAGGCGCAACAAGACATGATGGAGACGGCAGAGGCAGAGCAAGTACACACACAGCCAGCGCAAGAGGCGCTGGATCTGGACCGGCCGGGTGAGATGGATCCTCTTCTTCAACGGATACGAGAAACGCGGCCAGGTGTGTAGTGTCCGTCAAACCAACTACGAGTGCTGACTGTGCGCTTAGCTGTTTACTCCGCCATCCAGGTTTGGAGCGAAACTGGTCTCGGACGAACCGACGAAGCAGTAGCCTACCTCGAGAACATGGATCGCCTGGAGAAGAGTGGGACACTGGTACAAGATGCGAACGAAGGGAAATGGATTGTCGATTCTCTTCAAAGAATCGTGAACCGCGATGCGCCTCAAGAAGTCAAGACGCGCGCCGAAGAGCTCATCAAGGCCATCAACCAACGCCTCATGTCGCAATACCCACTCGGCTCACGCGTCCAGATGAGCGAAGAGCAAATATGGCAGGATCTAGAAGCAGCAGGCTACATGCGAACGCCAGAGCCGCTACAACACTTCGAGCAGAAACCAGAAGAAGAGCAGAAGCAAGAACAACCGCCAAGAAACGAAGACGATGAGATGGCGGCAACAGCAGGCCGGTTGCTAGAGCGCGTAGCAGACAACACAAGCGAGAAATTCCAAAACTCACAATTTCTGGGATTAATGCGCCGCCTGCGAGACCGCGAAGTAAGAGTACAAGAGGACAAGATCGTCGAAGTTGATGCCAGCGCTCCACAATCACAGTCCCAGCCAACAAACACAATGACCACGCCCCAAACCACCATCTCCCAGCAACCACAACCTCAAACCCAACAACACCCACCTTCATCAACGCAAATCCCCGAAATCGACCCCACGATCCTCTCCCACGCCGCCACCGACTTCGAAGCCCCAATCTACTACGGCGAGGACCCACAACCACAGCAGTATGCCCAGCCTCCTCCTTCTTCCTCCCCACATAATCCCCCCAGGGAGTCCCTAATAACTGATGAGATTTCAGAACAATATAGATACTACAATGTCCATGCCGCTTATCACCGGTGAGACGATGTTTACGGAGCCACGGCGTTTTATTCCACGGCATGAGCAGGATGAGGATCTTTGGAGGGATGCTGTGGTGCCGGGGAGGGATCCGGTGACGAAGGGTAGGGGGTCTGGGTAGATGGTCGTGATTTGGGAGGGACTTGGGGTAATATGCATCGGAGATGTCATGCACATGAGGAGTTCTTACATCAAGAGCTGTTCTACATGTCGCATCTAGCATTTGACTATCATCATTCGTATATTGAAAGCACAATTCTACGGGCGCAAGCTCATCTACTGCATCACTCATCAAGACCGCCAAGCTCTCAAGCTCCTCACTTCCACCCCTATTCTACCTTCCCTTCTCCCTCCCCTTCCCCTACCTCACCATCATCACCCGGCACCCAAATCCCCACCCCCTTCTTATCCACCCTCATCCCCTCCGTCCCCTGCACCTTCAACGTCTTATTAAAGTACCGATCCGTAACCTTCAGATTCGGCATAATCCAATCCCCCTCTACATTCGACAGCAAATTATACCTGACCGTCTGCCGACTCATAGGCAGAAGATGCAACGTCCGTAGTTTAGGTCCGCTGAAGCCAAAGTCCTCGCTGGCTTCCATGGCGAGCTCGAATGTGAGGAAGTGCATGGTGGGGTTCTCGAGGACGTAGTCGAGGTGGATGAGTGAGGGGGTCGTGGGGGAGAGGTGGTGGGAGGCGAGGACGCGGGGTTCTGAGGAGGGGATTTGGATGCGCGGGATGGGGAGGGAGGATGTTACTGGGGAGGCGGTGGGGTCGGACGTTCGCTTCCATGTTATGTTGAGAGTGGTGTCGAGGGCGGTGGAACGTCGTTCCTCGAGGTTGTTCTTCTGGATATCCAGGCTGAAGCCCCATTCGCTGAGGACCTGGGGTTCCATGGGGGTTTCTGCAATGGTGAATTCTTTGGTGACGTCGCATGTTGCGCCACCGTGGATGCTGTGGACTTGGACGGCTAGGTCGCTGACGATGAGCTGTTCGTCGGCGAAGGATGCGACTTTGGCGCGTAGGCCCCATTTCTGTGCTATGCCGAATGCATCGGGCGATTCGGGATTGACGTTGCTTTCGGCTTCTTGGAGCTCGAAGTAGCTGGGCCATGGATCGGGGTGCACACGCGCCATGAGGTCGTAGCTCGCTTCGAAGGGTGCGTTGAAAACGAGATCGGCGACCATGATCTTGGAGATCGGTATGTCGCGGTCGCTGAGGAGGTGGTATAGCACCTTGACTTCCAAGGCGTAGTCTGCTGGATCTGCGGGTGCAGTGAAGCGGATTCTCTCTGTTGTCCTCGCACCTTGGGCCAGTTTCCCTACTACATGGCCCGGAAGGTCTACGTCTGTTGAACCGTCGAGTGCTGGCGGGACTTCCTTCATGGGCGACTCTGCCGGGCGCTCGACCCACGTGTAGCTTAAAGTGTCTTTGGAGCGGCCCAATAATCGCACCTCAAGGACAGCTTCAGTGTCCTCTTCTTCTTGGTTCAGAATCTCTATTGCCAGCGTCACCGACTCGTCTGTGTAGTACTGGTTGCGAACGTCCGGTAGGTTGATTTCCATCTTTGGCGGTTTGGGTAGTATGTGCACCGACATACCAGATCCATGCTTCAACGATCTTGATTTGATCTTGGTATCTGACTTGATCCACCAAACAGGATGAGTTGGGGTCTCTGGGTCTGTGTCTGAGCAAACGAGATCAAACTTTTCCGTGCTGACGCCGAAGACGCACGCGACGACATCGACATCCCCAGACTCGCGCAGAATGAGTGGGAGACTGTACACTTTAGTCTGTCCCGGGTGGAGCGTGAGATCAGCTGTTCCGGCCCAGCGTGGCTTTCCGGTAGCGGAGTGAGTCTCTTCTAATGTACAGGTGTACATGATTGAGGTACTTCCGGAGGGTTCGTCGGCGTTGTGATTTAAGCGGACTTCAGCCAAACCACCATTGAACTGGTACTGGAGAAAAGCCAACGTGATTGGGGCGGAGCCTGGTCGAGCATTGGAGCTGATAGCGAGTTGTGCATGAAGGGGTTCGCCAACATTACCTTCGGCTTCGGCAAAGGCGAAGGACGTCGACACTGCAAGGTCAGCCTTTGAATTTTGGAAACGAGTTTCGCACTTACAGCAGGATATGTGATCTTTAGCATTTAGACTCACGCTCACCTTCTCGGCAGTCGCATCCGAGAAGACGTCCAAACATGTCATCAGGTCGTACTTGTATTTTGTCTTGCCAGGGATCGCTGGTGGCTGTTAGTGAGGCTTCATGTGAAAGACGAATAACACTGACTTTGACTATACAGCTCCCACTCCGTTGCAACATACGATTCTCGGCTCTGTACTCGCAGTGCGCACTCATGCAGAGTCCATACTACCTCCGAAGCTAAGCTCCACCATCCTTCTTTCCGCCATGCCATCGTTTCCCAGAGTGATCGTAGTACTTTGTAAGCATCGTCAAATCTTTTCACGTGTAGCAATGTTCGAGCCACCTCAAGTTGCAACTGATCTACTTTTCGGTGTTGTCCCCGAGCTTTAAACTCAGCTATCGCTGCATTAAGCTTGGATGAGATGTCTTTCCAGTGCTCGAATCCGTTGCCGATACCAGGTACAGGATACTCTTCGTGAGGTTGCGGAACGAGGTAGTGATCGTATATCTGATTCCGAGCCGAGACTTTGGCGGCAGGAGACATACCTGGTGGTGTTCGGTCTTCCTCTGGCATCTCTCTGGCAAGAATGTAGCGCCTCTTCGCGTGATCACTGGCAATCTTGTGCCAATATCCGGCATGATGTAACAGTTCCCATGGTGGTAGTCTTTCTCCTACCGGGAACTGTTTCTCGGGCTGAGAATATAGCGAGTTAGGGATGTCTGGCAAGGGATCTGTGTCCGGGACAGGATCTCGAATCTTGAAGACTGGCAATTCTGTTCGTCGTACAGTCTCAGCCATCACTTGGGCCCATGTGGATTCCCAAGCCTGCCAACCATAGTTGTTAGTACCCTTGCCCCGGCGATCGAGCACGTCTTGTAATCTCCACTTGTATCGTAACCAAGACTGGACCGCGGAAGTAGGGAAATTGTTCCATAGTTGACATCGAATGTGTCGTAGTGCGATGATATCTGCTAGCAATCGTATCTCGTCCCATCTTGGGGACCAGCTTGCCGTTGTTTCAAACAGGCCCTCGGCACCAAACAATGCCTCCAGAGCAGCCCCGTAGTGTCGCTGTGCAGCGTCCATCTCCTGGCGAAACTCGGCGAGAATGCCCAGCTTGAAGTCATAGCGAACACCCCACCCAGGATACGACAGCGTTTGGGAGGTGCCACGCGTTGGTGGAGCTGTCGGAGGAGGGATTGTGCCTCGTCCTTTCTTCCTCCGCGCATGTTTCGTGAGGTCGCGGTAATACTCGACACAGATAGGTTGTAGTATGGCCAGGATAGAAGTGACGAATGCCTGCAGCTCGACCTTGGATGTTCTTGGAGGCAGAAAGAAGAGTGAATTCTTTGGATCTAAGCCTGTAGCCCGCCGTATCGTCGCCAGTCGCTCTTCGATGTCTGGTGCCTCGATTATGGTCTTGTCACTCAGCAATACCACAACGTATCTTGTTCGGTAGTCTGACTTTTGTATCTGGCTCTTGATCTTGTTGATGTCCGTCTTCAGCTGATTATCGTGCAAGCTGTTCGTAATGGGGTCTGTGGTGAAGTTGAAGAAGGAGACGAATACGGAAGGAACGTAGTACTGGTGCTTGGCGACCCAGGCAGGAGCGATGACGCCGTCGGGGAAGGAGGGCGACGCTGGAGAGAGGGGAGATATGGGCGAATGCAGGACCCAGGACGTTGCGGCTGCGATGGTGGGACTGCCTGGAGGGGTTGTCTCGGAGTTTGAGGGCGCATCTGCCTTTTTCGGGGGCAGTTGGAAGTTCTAGCAAACATCAGCCCATGGCTCCTTCCCGTGGCATAATCGCAGGCGCATGTACCCTTCCTACACTCCGTATTCTGAAGCCATGCGTAATGCCTCGGCGACTAAAGTCGCGCCCATTCCAGGGCGCGCTTGTGCCATCTGCACTCAGAAACTCTTGGAGTAGTTCATTTGCCCGGTCGCCTTCTGCAGGCGGTAGATCTGAGCTGATAGTTGTGACAGCGCGCCCAGGAAGCACATGCTGAACCGATGGAGGGGGATCGGCCTCTTTGCTGGTCGCTAGGCCTGAAAGGACAATAAACGGTAGGTTGTGCGCAGTGAAGTCTGATGGGTATGCCTCCATTATAACTCCATGCCCGAGTCGCGTGGTTTCCAGCTTGTATCTCACAAGCGTGGTGTCGACGTGGTGCTGCTTTTCGGAGTTGGGGAGAGCGGAAGTGCTGCGGAGTGGATTTGCTCGTCGCACGAGAATCGCAAGGCCAGACGTGGGCTTCCTAGGTGCTGTATCGAATTGGCGATATCAAGCGTGTTTGTGGCAGCATGGAGATAGTGTACAGATTGTTCGCGGCTTCGTCATCGATGGTCGCGGGTCGACACATGGGCGCGGGAAGCTAGCTGAACCCTTGCCATGCACGTTCTCTATGCCGCCCGATCCCTCCACACTTTCTCTCCGACACTCTACAGCTATACTTTTGCAATCCAGCTTCGCCGCTACGCGTATCCACACCTCCAAATACCTTTGACAGCGCAACAAGTCGTTGTACTAGCTGAACGCGCTCGTATCGATACTCCGCATCTTCACCACCTTACGCTCGCGCTGGCCAGAGGCCCTGACGCCATGGCGGGCCAACAGCAGCAGATTATGGATACCATTTTCAGCATGAAGAGGAAGATGCTGCGAAAAGACGACTGTAAGCTCATTCCTACCTCGACACAGACCTAGCTAACACTGCGCAGCCGACACAGAAGACTCCGAAACACCCTTAAACAGCAACAAGCAGGATCTGAGGCGCAAGGTCCATTATGCGCGCGCCAGCGACCCAGACTTCCTTTCTGACCCGCGACCCTACAAGAAGGTGCGTTTTGGCTT